TTGACGATGTCGTGAATAAATTATCAACGAGAATAGTTGTTCTGAAGCGCAATCGTGCGAGGTAACAATCGTTTAAAGATTTCTAAGAATAACGAATTCAAATACGAACACGTATGTAGCAATAACCGGAAACAAAATTTCTTGTTCTTTCTAGTACGTAGGTTAATGCTTGATATACGACCATCCTAATTCGTGGAAAATCGTGGGATTTTCCGCGAAATCGCTTTGTTTCCATTTTAGTGATGGAAATTCTGGGAAGCCGAGCAAAAACTGTATTCGCCAAGCAAGAAAAGCTAAATACGGGTCCTTAGGTGATCAAACTGCAACGCTAATGACGGATGATAGTCAGAAGTGAAGGTAAAATGTTCACGGTGTGTACAGCTCGTGGGTTACAGCGAGGTATCGAGCCGTTAATTTCAAATAAACGGAAAAGCACGTTCACCGCACGACTTTCACTGTCGACCTGCCACGGCAAACAGAGAATACTGGAATTGTTGGCAGAGGTCCGCCAATTACCGCAATATATAACTCAAAGTAAATCTCGATTAGCGATGGCTTAGAACGTGGACCGACTACGTTCGAAACTCTCACAAGAATTCGGGAAGGAATATAGTAAACTCTCGTTATATTGCAATATTAATGTTGAGCATGGGAATTCGCGGAACCGTTACAAAATACTGTGTACTTTTGTTAGATTATCATTTTTAAATACACTAGTGAATACGCGTTAAATATCACCGTACATCATATTATATCGCCATATGTTGTATCGTTGCGTCATGCAACGCTATTTGCCATATATCACCGTGTATTATATATTGCCAGACGCTATCTATTTATCGCTACTTGTTATCTACTGCTAATTGTCATATATCACTATAATGCGATATACCGCCACGCACCATATATCGCAACGCGCCATCTATTGCTACTCATTATATATCATTACGCGTCGTATACTGCCATGCACCATATACCGCCATGCACCATATATTGCCACACGCCATATATCGCCACGCACCATATATCGCCACGCGCCATCTATTGCTACTCATTATATATCATTACGCGCCGTATACCGCCATGCACCATATATCGCCATGCGCTATCTATTGCTACTCATTATATATCATTATGCGCCATATACCGCCATGCACTATATATCACCATGCACCATATATCACCACACACCATATATCGCCACGCTCCATGTATCGCCACGCGCCATCTATTGCTACTCATCATATATCACCATGTACCATTTATCGCTACGAGCCATCTGTTAGTACTCGTCATATATCACCACGTACCATTTATCACCACGAGCCATCTATTACTCGACACATATCACCACATACTATATATCATACATCATATAACCGTTATGTACCATATATAGCCACGCGTCATTTATCGCCGCACGTCGTGCATTACATGTCGTAGCACCACATATCGCCACTGGTCATATATCATCGAGAAACGTACATTACCACATGTGTTGACAATGAGAAATATCTTTGCGAGTTAAATGACCACGCATTGTTCAACTGCCAGGATTATCTCATTACAAAATTAAATATAAAGCAGACTCTCACTACATTATCATATTCACACGAACTTGCATATGTATGATAGAAGAACAAAAGATATAGATGAAAAAATCTGGAAATAGGAATTGTTTCCGTTGAATGATTTTACCTTCCCTAACACGATGAAACGATAAAGTTGTATAGACAGATAATTATGTAATTATCTTGAGTAACGTATTTCCCTGATTTCAGGAAATTCCCTAGGATCGCGCTCCGAAGAGAAGCACAATTATTGAGCGATTATTCCAACCATCATTTCAATAGTTACAGTAATTGCATAATATAAACGCTCGATAGAAGATTTATGCACAGTTGCAATTAGTGGATTATGTATAACTTAGCATTCGAACATGCATTTTTTCCTATTGGAAATCAGTCGAAAATTCATTGATACCAATTCAGGTTATTCTGAAAATATGAAACTCTAGAGTTATTTTCAACAAAATACAATTCAACATTGCGCCGAAACATCAGGTTGCTTTCTTTGGTATTTTTAGAACCACCGTTAGATTTTGCAAAGCCCGTAACAAAAGTTCTCTGTATATCCTGAATACTCTAACTATATTGTCCTTTATTACAAAAGTACGTCGATTAAAAATTTGTCGAAACTATCAGCCAATAACAGAAAATCTTTGAAGTATCGTAATATTAATCAGCGAGGTCAATCGGTCAATAATTGCATTAAAATTACGTGTGAAAACGATAAATGACCTGATACAACGTAAACGATTGAAATTATTCATCGTACTCCATTCGCGTTTAATCCTATTCGTCTACAAAGGAACGGCTCCAACTGATCGGATGAAACGGGTTTTATATACGTGTAAGTATATTCCTCACGAGCGTGCTCGGAAAGATCAAGTTAAACGGAGAGAACCTGGCGTTACATTGCAACCTCCGACCCAGATAAAGAATGCTACGGTGCACTCGTTGCAGGTGAATGCACCCGGCACCAACGGACTAAAACCTTTTGACGCGATTATTCGGAAAAACGTGTAAACACAAAAGCATTCCACACGGGTAACAATAAAATTTCTTCGCTTCACCGATCATCATAAATGGATAGTGGTTTATTATGATCCACTTAAGAATATTATCCTAGCTATAATTAAATTGTAAACCAAACTTTCGATCAAGATGAAGTATTGAGATAATATGCGCGCGCAAGGCAATGAAGTCAATGTTTATTCATATTTTACGAAGTCATAAAATTTCCTAAAATAAAAGCAGTTTTGTGTTGAATATCTGGTACACGTGCGAAACAACGTAGCATAATAATGGTTCTGTTTCTTATCGCTATTGCTTCTGGAAACACCTTGGAAATCGTTGTGTAGGTACTGCAAGACCTGCTGGTTCTCCATCCACTAAATCTCAATTTAAATTCCTGCTGTCTAAGAATAACTGCTCTTCGTGTAAAATCTGTTCGATCTCGGTTTACGTTTCTGCCACGTACAGAGAACAATTTTACGTGAAACTTGCTTGATTTTATTTAGAACGTCCGTTGTATGTATGTAGTTACTCGTGTACGGCGAGCTGTACAAGTATTCGGTAATTATACAGGGGGACAGGAAAACAGATGGCACAGCTTTCGTAATTTAACTACTCCTCATAGTTTAACTACTGCCTATGAGAATGAAAAAGATCTTACAAGTAGAATTATGGAAATGAAATTGAAATTTGAATATGTATTCCATGATAGACATGTAATTAGACTCCCGTATAATTATGAGCACTGTCATTAGTCTTTTTTCTCTCAGAAGTCAATAATACTTATAATTGTTTAACATTGAAAAATGTTTACAAACAGTATCGCCATGTTGTGTATCCGTCGGTTATGTCGTCACACACTGTATTAGTATCCTCGCATTATATCGCCGAACATAATATTATATTATATCGTCACGTATTATCACCACGCGTGATATTGTCATGCTTGTTATACCACGCATGATATTGTCATATTTGTAATGTCACCACGCATGGTATTGCTAAACGCAATTTACTCGCGGTATATCGCCAAGCGTAGTACAGTCATGCGCAGTATAACCACGCATGGTAGTCTTACATAATACAGTCACGCGTAGTGTATCACTACGCATTGCATATTCACGCATTATATCGCCAGACGTACATTCGTATTATACCATCACCCATAGTATATTTCTACACACTATATTGCCACAGCGTAGTTATACTGTCACGCATTTAGTAACCATTGCTGCTAAAAAGCAGTTATTACATATGGACAACATCGTTAGCACCATAATATATTATATAAAAATCATTGAAATTAATTAATTATCTATTCTGTTTTATATAATTACTATTATTTTTTGTAAATCATTAATATCTATTATCTATTGTATATAGATATAATTATCTATGTATATAATGCCATTCAGTGGCTCATTGTATTTCTATGAAGGAGCAAATCTGATGTTTATATTTTCGTGAAAGTTTCACTATGAAGTGTGTATTGATAGTACGTTGTTTGTTTACCTAACCGAATAATAGTAAGAAATGATGCAGCGCGATACATTGAACTAAACGTGTAACAGGTATGCGAAGGCGGTTTTTCCGTGAGAATGGCGGGGAGAGAAGCACAGTCAAGGCAAAAGTAGGGTAAATGTATCCACGTAGGCACACGACTCTCCTTTGGAGATCAATCAGAGCGAGCATAAGAATTTTGCAAACATTTCCCGAACGATTCTAGATTACCGCATATAAATTAGTACTGTTAATACGGTCACAAATGCCTGCATTACTTAGCAGTTTCACCTTCGTAACTATCGTGTTAACTTTTGAAAACACAACCTGACGATAGGTACCAATGAATGAATCAGACGTGAACCATGTTGAGAGTTTACAAAATTCGATTACTTATCAAATTAGTGATATTACATAAGACATCAAGAGCAAGTTAAGAAATTTATTTTTTCATAATTCTTAAATTTACTTTAATCACATGGTAAACGTTTAAATTCCTGTATTTAATTTTCTCAATTTTTCGCGGGTGAAATCAGATTCGTTTCCCGGCGTGGTATCCCTTGATGGTAACACGCTTGGTTACACGCTCGAGAATATTCCGACGGAAAAGGATGAACGAGCAAAACGGGAAGGTCAAATTGAACAGGAGGACTCTGTTTATCTCGTCATCTGTTCGAGAGCAAGCAGACTGAATCACGAAAACGTACATACGATCAGTTGTGTCCGGTGCGTGTTTAAGGTCAATGCACGAGAACCGAACGTTCGCATGAACGCGTTTCTACGGCGCACCGTAAGGTACATGGCGAACGCGATGGATACCGTAGCTGTCACGCTTGTCAATCAGGTTGCCGAACGACGACCGTTCGATCGCGTGTCGTTGAGCAAAGTACAAAAAAAAACAGTGTAACGATGTGTTTTACTCACCGAGAATCGCCTGGAGGGTTTGATCGTCCCCGTCCCCGATGACATCCATACCTCCGTTGATAATCGGACCCCTGAGATCTTCCGGGCCCCTTCAACGGGCCCCATTTTGTCTCCAGGCTACGATGTCACTCGACGTGACGTCCCACATAGTACGCAACGTTTAATGTAACTCTCTTCCGTTTTTTTTCTTTCTCTGCCTCTCTCACTTCTCTTTCTCTCGAACAAGTCTCTCTTGCTCCGTAATGTATCACGTATTCCACGTACTTTGATTCTTCGTTTAGTTTCTCTTCAAATTCACTAAACGTCACGACTCTTTCAGTGTGCTCACTCGTGTATCTTCGAGTGCAGCGACACGATCTACGAACGATCGACGTCGAGAATCGGCACGGTAGACGCGACCATCGCGAGGAAATCGAAAATTTGGTCCAACGCGAAATGAAACTTGTACACTCGACGAACTTGTGTACCGATTCTGTTTCTGTTCCCGTTCGTGGAAACGATTTCTCCGTGTTTATTCTCTGCCGTACACTCGTACACCCAGCAGCCGTGTCGAATCCCGAGGCGCGGACTAAACTTCAGTTCCGTGCCGACACTACACGCGCACAATACGTAATACATGCAAACGCGCCCCGTGTATGTCGCGCTGAGAACAAGTTGGTCACGTGACACGTTTGCCTGTTCCGTGCGGAGTTTGAAAGTGGCGCGTTTCCGCGATCGCTCGTGAAAATATTATTGGTTTATGCGGTAAACGGTTATGTCTTCGATTGTTTTGCACGGGACAATAAAGAAGATTTAAATTGGAGTGTTATTTATACAGTGTGATGAAAATCTTGTGGCAATTTGTGCGACAATATCAAAGTGTAACGAGGACATCGAAACTTCATCATAGGAATGTTCCACAACACAAGATGGCGGCACCGATCTGCAACTCACGCGGTAAATAGAAATTAATAAATTGACAAATAAAAAGCTTTTTTCCTCGATAATAGAAGCTTTAAACGATTAATATATATTGCCAATTGTATAAGGTTATTAATATCTTTATTAAGCACGCTGAAATACTGATAATATGACATTGGCAATGTATGTTAATCGTTAATTTAAGAAGTTAAGATTTTGACAGTTCGAAGTCTTCATAACTGAACAAAAATTAATATCTTTTATTATTTATATAAAGATTTTCATGTATATAAGGATGCGTTATTCTTATATGTAGTATATACTTACAATTAGAGAGTTGCTGCTTTTTAAATAATAAATTTCAAAAAATCACATTACTTGTAATAAAAAATGGAGGGAAAATTTTGCTGAATATAAAAATAAATTTTTATTCTTAATAAATATTCAGTATCCTTGCTTGAAACACTAGGCATTTAACAGATATATAATAAATTACATCTATATACATTTTGTATCTTAAAATCTAAAAAATATTAAATAAATGTAAGAGGAGAATATAATACAATATCTTATAATTGAAACTACAAACTTAATTTTAATCATCATACATTATATAAATGTTCAGTAATACTTTCCAGTAAAATTTATAATTGAAATTCTTAATCAAAATAGCAACATACAAATTGAAGTAACAGTTAGAACTTGATATATTTTATATATCTGGTATATGTCAGTTGATTTATGAAAAAAAATTCAAAACATTTCACAAGGCACTCAAATAGTGAACAAAAAATAACAAATCTGTGTTATACTGTCATTTGCACTATATTTGTAAATGTAGTATTTTGCTAAGCAAATACACATAAATCTTGCATGGATACTATAAACATTTATTACGTCACATAAGTACAATTGAACACCAAAGGGCTTCTAAATTATTATTATTGTTGTTATTGTTACGTTAATACGTTTACATTAAAGTCACTTTATATATTCATAAATAATTTACTCTTGACTTTCTTACACAAATACATAATTTCTTAAATATAATTTGCTCTCTGTACAACATATGTACAAATGTATATGTATACATATCACAAACTTTCACTCAAAATTCACATTCTTACATTCACATACAAGACAGAAAAATTCTGAGGCATTATATCAATAATCTGATGAAAGGTTTTATAACACGATTAACTAATCATGTTATGAAGGTGAATAGACTAATTACATCTGAAACAATTACAGGCTTCACTCTAACACACCCATACAAACAATTCTCAAGCCTGTTTACAATAGTTATTAAATTAAATCACACAATTTGATAAAACAATAGATCAAATTGAAATTAACAAAAAACAATTGTAAGAACTTAATCAAAGTTACAGGATCATAAATTTTACAGACTTTGTAATATATTTTGTCTCGGTATGCAATATTCAGGAAACACTAATAACAGCTTTGGTATTTTATGATGTTGAAATCTATAATTGAGTAAAATACATTTGTTCGAGTCATGAAATTTTATACTATGAGATGTTAATCAATTCTTACTTTGTCATTTTTGTCAACAAATTCAATATATATATAAATAAACAAACGAACAAAACAGTCATTTGTAAAAAAGCTGCAGCTCATTTCATTTTGTATTTGTGTGATTGTATCAGTTTCTTTTATAGATTATTTAATGCTGGAAATAGCGAATAGAATAAATAATTAATTTTATATGCAATATTTGGTTCACTACTGCAAGGATTACTAAAATTTTCATGAAAGTTTAGATTAACAAACCCAACCTACAATTTACTACTCTGAATTACAATTTTTTTAAGTGTAACTACGTTTCTTATGAACATTATGCGCGTCATAAATTTCAGTTTGTTACAGCATATTATGTCTAGTTAGATTTATAACTTATATAATAAACGTATTGTACTACCTGCATTCAGTCTTTGTTGATAAATTAAATAAAAGTCATGGAAATCATTGTATACGTCGAACTGTAAAATTAACTAGGAACTACAAATAGGATAAAAATATTTAATTGATCTGGGTCCCAATTTAGTAACAAATAAAATCTGCCTTTCTGTAATTATGATTTGATGGTTTCAATAGAATATTTCCATTAACATTGTTATCAGTAATTGTGTATATTGGGCAGCTGAATTTAATTGTACAACAATTTGCTGCACTGGAAAGCTAGGAAGAAACTGCTCGTACCATAGAAAGTTCAAGACTAAGAATAACCGCAATTTTTTGTAACGAATTAACACGAAACACACAGTGAATACGTAAAAACCTGAATCGACGGTAACAAACCGCAATCTTTTATTTCACGAGTTAAATTGAAATATTCTTATTCATTTGCCAAACAGTTTTAATTCCGTTCAAGAATGTGTTCCTTAGAGCATGAGTCAATAAACCATTTGCCTTTGTCTTGAGCTTTCTGACTTGATATTAATTGTCAACAATTCGTCATGGCAGTATAGAAATGGCAGCTTTTTCAATGAGATAGAACTCATCTTGAATAGGTGAAAACAGTTGAGATATCCACCGGTCTCGAATTGGAACTAAGATTCCTCCTCACAGAATTTCCTTCACCGCAGATATATTTAGATCTGGACATAGCAATATGTTGCAGACAATATCCAGTAGTCGTTTTAGAAACCTCTTTGTAGTAATTCTCAGAAGAATTTTTCTTTCAGTAAATGTCATTTAATTCAGTTATCTCGGTTACTTCATTCTCCCGAAGTCGACGATTTACCACCATCAAGTGTTTGTTCATACAAACAAAGTGCACGATGAACAAATTCGTATTGCTCTGCTGTTTGAACCATGCCTCCTCTATCATATCTGAAAAAAAGATTTTTACATTTAAAAAGAAGTTATTGTAATTTTTACATTACAACTGACTTGGAAAGAAAATTTCTTTTAATTAATTTGATAACTTTTTCTAGTAATGAATTTTGATTCAGTTTTATAAAAATGTCATACCTCATTTGGCATAGTATACCCAGTACGTCTACGTTTCCATCTCGTAATAACTGTGTCATACCCGTAGCTAAAGCTATGAAACACCCAGTTCGTCCAATTCCTGCACTACAATGAACAACGACTGGCCCTGGTAGAGAATTTACTTCAGCAGCTAAGCTTACAAGAGTATCTGCAGCTTGAGGTACTGCATGGTCCGGCCATGAATCATACCTGTAATTTATTAATTAAAAATACATTTATGTACTGCGATTAACAATGTCTTCATAAGATGGATAATCCAATGTTAATTACCAGTAATGCTGCACATGTCTTCTTTCTCCTTCGTATCTAATCTCTAAATCTCTGACTATATAACCATCCCTTGAATCAATAGAATTTGCAATAATAGTAAAATTTTCCGCCTGTATACGACTGTTTTTGTCCAGTGGAAAGTATGCTTCACATTTTGTTTTGGCTGCTTCATGCAACTTTGTCATCATAACAACTACAGAGACTTTGTCTGCCCACACCATTTTCCAAAAGTCAGCTACTGTGTGAGCCAATGGTCCCTGTGTTGCAATGTAACGAGCATCTTCTCCGTCGTATCCCTATAAAATAAAACACGATTATATTATATAATTGCATAAAGGTTTAATAAACTTTTGATTTCTATAAATTCAATTCCGTTTTGAACGTACACGTATATAATTGGCGTTAATATAACCAGAAAGGGGATCATCAGAAGAACCCGGTAAAACCACTCTTGACTGCGGATTTGGTAACACAGAACAGTATCGATTCTTCACTTTAGATCCACAAATATCTAGTTCTTCAGGTAAATTAAGTGGAACTTCCCAAAATTCTTTGTGCAGTGATGCTGGATCACTAATAGCTTTTTTAAGCTGTGCTCTTGAAAGAACATTTCCAGCACTCAACAAAAATTCCTCTGCAGTACATTCACGAGTAGGTGTAACTATATGTGGTGGACTTTCAGGAGGAGGTGCTAGTTCTATAGTTAAGCTTGCACTTGAACCACGGCGTTCCAATAATCCTTTAGGTTTTATACGTATTGGTTCAGGTCTGTGTTCCGGTGTTACTACTGACATTACCTACAGTTAAAAAAAGACCATTAATATTGAAGCTCTGTTGTAATAGTGTTTTATAGCAAATCTTTGATAACAACCTCTGGTAAGCCAGTAGCTTGAGTGACTGATTTGACAGATTGAACAGATTGAATAGATGACTTTGCTGTTGGTTGATGAACCCATTCAATTGATCCTTTTGTAGCTTTAGCAGGTTTCTCAGGTGGACATACAGCACCTTCCTCTACCAAACCTCTCCTATCACCATCTTCTGTATCCTTTTCACGCGACATTTGTTTCCTCAGCCATAACAAAACCTATGAATTAAAAGTTAAGTCACAATCTCTGTTTGAGCATATATGTAAAATTCTATGAAATCAAAAATTTTTATAAATCTTACCAGAAATGTAAAGAGAATAGCGCCAGCGATGGCGCAAAGTGCTACGAACAGGGGCAATTGCCAGTCTAGCCATGATAAAGTCGCAGTGGAATGTACCTCCTGTCCTGTACGGGTACTAAGTTGAGCTGCTTGCAAATCCATAACAGCATCATCCAGTCCCGTTATGGACTGTGGGATCCTATGTACAAAAAGTTAATATGTAATGTTTTTTAATTGCAATGATTTTTTGAAATAAATCATCTGTTATAGATTATATAAAAGAAGTTTCTAATCATTATAAGAAAAGTTATATATTTTCAAACTTTTATTCTCCATCTATCAAGCTAACATATCAAATATGAAATTTGGTATAATACCTGTGATGAGATCGAGCAGACATTCCCTCTGTAGATGGCAATAAAGGAATAGGCAGCACAGAATCTGTGTGCCACCTTTGTTCGGTAATTAAGTAAAATTTCTCCAGGGGATCCGAATTATCATTATTGCCTGAGATATCGTAATAATTTGCATCATTTACATAATGATTAGTTAAAGGAGTGCTCGTACCTCCTATAACAAAAATGAAATATATTAAAGTTCTCTATAATGTTTAAAATTCTTAAAAGTTCAAGTCATAATGATTTGCTAAAAATGATCGAATTTCGACTTTAAATAATGTAATATAACGTCATCCACTTTTTTACACACGACAAAACACTCACTAGTAATTATATATTGTTTACGCTGAAAGTTACGTATTAACGTCTTTAACGAATCCTAATGCATTTATTTGCACATTACATATAGAAGCAAACTTTGATTAATTGTTACCAAAAAAACGCCACTGTCTTTTGTTCTTTTTCAACGCAAAACTAAACATTTTTCGGTTGTTTCGTAAAGTCCATCGGGTAATAACTCATCGAATTCGATACCGATTCGAATTGCAATTTTGAGTTTGGAAAAAAAATCCATCAAAGTCGGAAGGAACGGCTTCCGTGCCGTTACACAGGAAGTAAACATCGTGCTTATTTTATGAACGGAGCACCAAGGAAATTCTGAAGTGGGGAAGGGTGACAGAGTAACGAGCAGATGGAGTATACACCAATGAGAGAACTGCATGTGACAAGTGGATGAATAGACGTCGTTCCAGTCACAGGCACAAGTGCACGGCGCAACGTGTGTATGCACACTTCCCATTTGCACACAAACACGAAAAGAAGGAACACGAATAAACCACATCCTGTTTTCCGGACATGTGTGTACGTACGTGCCAACGGTGCATGTACACACGTGAAGTCGCGTGATGCGAAGAACAGAAAGAAAAAAATATATTTCAACGAATGATCTTGATCGATACCTTTCGTCAAAAGCGCGTTCGCCAGAAACATCAACATCGTGCGATTCAAACTGACTTGTAACTTGTGATTTGAAAGTAGCGGCTGCGTGGACGCGTAAACAACCATGTTTGAGATTCTCGAGCAAACATCAGACGGTCTCGACTGCGCAAGCCTCTGATTCGAACTGTTGAAGACGCTGTTCGTATACCCTGACCTGGGCTTCGGTTCGCTTCGGCCTTGCACTCGGTTACTTACGGGAGGAAATACCAACCAATCCCCGTTGAGTCGCACGCAAAGATCAACCAATCGCACGGATAGTTTACGACCAGTATCGGGAATTTGGCGGGAGGGACTCAAGGTGAATGAAAGCGAAGCACGTGCAACTAATGATAGTAAAGTGCATTCGGAATCAAGTTTTACGTTTGCCCATTGAGTAGAAGCGAGAACGTTGGTTCCGTCCGGCCCGATAAATATACGTAAGTACGTCGTTTTGAATCGTTTACCTCCGGTGAGCGTTCTCACGCGGACATCTACTTCCGGTACTATGAGTTTTCAACTACTACCATGACACGTCAAGTAGTAAAACGTTCTAACACAGCTGCTGTGTACACATGAGCCAAGTTTGTGCAAACTTTAAAAAATCATTCCCCTTATTTGAACAACACTGGTCTAACCGTACTTTGCATATTCATAATACGATACTATGCAATGCGAGATTATACAATAATATGGAGCAAGATTATGATCTGTACCGATATAACGCGAGGTTATACATCACATGGTGATACAACGCAAGATTGTACACTGTGTGATGATATAACGCGAGACAATGTAATGCGTTGCGAAATAACGCGGGGCTTTACAATATGCGGTTAATATAACGTACCTGGCGTTTTTACATCGAGACGTTGCATCGCGAATAACTAAAATCTAACATTAAATAAAAAATGAGACATTCGTAACGGCGAATGCGATTTCTGCTTTACGTTCACGTAGCACGATTTATAAATAAGTCGTTGCAAGAAAAATACATGTTCGCGTATCTGGCGATATGCAAAACCTTTATAGGTCACGGATAACCGTCACGGTGGTTAACGTTAAAAGAAACAATTTTATATTACGCTGACGCATCTCGAGGGTGAATCATCTTTTAGTTGCGCGGTATGATATGAAAGGTTCCTTATGGGGAGGAAGAAAAAAGAAGAAAGAACCGCAGAAGAAAGGAATCGTTAGCATGATGCGTTGGCTAAGTCTGAATTACCGTGTACTAAAATGCCGTCGAAACACTGCCCCATGTTTACGCAAGTATCGAATCTTGCGTACTTTTCCATCCGCGAAATGTAAAATGATCGCAGTTTCTCTTCGCTTTTTCAGACTTCTCGCGATTCCGCTCGGTCAACACAGCAGAAAACGGTGTTGAAATAATCCTCGTTTATCTCGCAACTGATACATGATGCAAAACATGGTAATTTGTGAGACGTTGGCCGCGCGAAGTAATAAAAAGCATAATTCCATTACTTCTTTTGTATCCACCGTTGATGAATCGAAATTGTATTAGATCAGGCATGTATCTAGCCGTGCGTCTTACGCATTTCTCAAGAATATCTCGGTGATTCAGAAAACCGGATGTTGCCCATTCATCCAAGCCATATGCCTGACATCCAATATTCGCGTTGTCGAATCGTTTTTCTCGTTCCGATTTGTGTTTCATTCACGCTCTTGATCTCGTGAAATAATATATTTTCTTTTTATAACGATATCTCTACAACGAACTGTATTCTTCGTATGACCAGCCACAATTCACAGGATCACCGATTGTTGAATTGGGTTGATGCAAAAATAATTGTGAATTTTATTTTAAATCTATACATTCACTTTTTAAGAAATTTTTATCTAGCCATGCAGAACAGCAAAATAATAAAATGACCGTTTTTGAAATTAGAATAAGTAGACAAGAAATTGATTCACCAATATTTGTCAGTAAAAAATTATTCAAGAAAATATACCGATTAACTGCAACAGAAAATTAATGCATAAAAATTGTAATTATTTCTGCATCAATGCAATTCACGCATCTACTGTATTTCTCGTAGCTAACGTTCAATGAACTCCCGTTTCTCTGAAGCAGCTCGTAGCCTACCGATGCCTGTCACACGACAATTGCTAACCGGCTATCATTGTTGTAGCAGCAGCTGAAAAATCAATAACCAGCATGGCAGAACCGAATCTTCGAACCCTCCATGTGTGTCTCTCCTCCGTAAGTTCGTGAATCACGACTGAATCGAGCCATGGTCACGGTTGACAACCAAATCTCTCGTTATCACGAGATACTGTTGTCGCTGTCGTACAATGGCAAATATAAAAAACACATTTTTTCAACGGCTATCGAGTATATTCGATTCGCACGTTGCTTGACTCGATCGCGATCTGATCTCAAAAACGATTCGGTTCTCAACAATACAAGCCGCTGACGTCATCGTTTGGACGAAATCGTCCGATCTTTTTTTAAAAAACACTCGACATAATCGATCACCCTGTCACATACGAAACACGAGTTCGATCACGAAGAGGAGCTCACTCGAGACGAAGTTTCACGGCAGGGTACGCGAGCGTGGGTTTGAACGAATCGTAGGGCGGTCTTGCCACCGACTAAATTAGAGTCTCCATTCACCCTTCGGTGCGAGCTTGTGAGCTTTCGTAGGGCGCACGCAGCCAGACAAGCACTTGCGTAAAATTACTCGCCGTCGATTCGAGCGAGAGACGTGTGGGCGGCTATCGGAACGTCTTTCGAAGCGTTCTCGTGAAAATTCTAGCTCGATGCGAACAAACGAAGGTGAAACTTTTCTTCGAAACTTACAGGGCCATCGAAAGTTGACCAATTTCGTACCATTCTTTCGAATTCATACTTCGTATTTCGAGTTGTTCATATTCGAAATTTAATATACACTACTTATTCGATTCGCACGTTGCTTGACTCGATCGCGATCTGATCTCAAAAACGATTCGGTTCTCAACAATACAAGCCGCTGACGTCATCGTTTGGACGAAATCGTCCGATCTTTTTTTAAAAAACACTCGACATAATCGATCACCCTGTCACATACGAAACACGAGTTCGATCACGAAGAGGAGCTCACTCGAGACGAAGTTTCACGGCAGGGTACGCGAGCGTGGGTTTGAACGAATCGTAGGGCGGTCTTGCCACCGACTAAATTAGAGTCTCCATTCACCCTTCGGTGCGAGCTTGTGAGCTTTCGTAGGGCGCACGCAGCCAGACAAGCACTTGCGTAAAATTACTCGCCGTCGATTCGAGCGAGAGACGTGTGGGCGGCTATCGGAACGTCTTTCGAAGCGTTCTCGTGAAAATTCTAGCTCGATGCGAACAAACGAAGGTGAAACTTTTCTTCGAAACTTACAGGGCCATCGAAAGTTGACCAATTTCGTACCATTCTTTCGAATTCATACTTCGTATTTCGAGTTGTTCATATTCGAAATTTAATATACACTACTGTCCATAAGTATCCGGACACTTGGTTACATAAAACATAGTTGAACTTTGTACGAAAGGTATTTAGGGTTATCATATCATTTGTAATAATTATTATTATTTTTTTTGAGGTGTCATAACGTAATAGAATTAATTTTTAAGTACAAATTATACAATGAAAGTGTGAAAGTAAAATTCATGTCCAAAAGTACAAAGTCCAAATTTGTGAATTTAATGAAACGCTTTCGATTCTAAAAAAAATTTTAATTTCTACTGTGTTTCATTTCTATGGTGCAGAACGTATTCAGAGGGTTCTTCGATATGTTTCAAGTGTTTGTAAACTGTTGGTAGATGTTTAGGTTCCCTCAATGGAGATAAGAATGGAGGTAACGCTACGCACTCGACAGTTTCGGTTTAGTTCGTCTGTAGCTTTCTTTCCACCGAGATATGAGTTCCAAACGAGAATTATCAATGGAAAAACGTTCCAGTATTCTGACCTTCGCAGAAAAAAATCGATTTTAGTTACTGCTGCAGATACTTGAATAACTTTCATGCAACGCGAATGCATATTTCGCTGGTGTCCGGATACTTATGGACGGTAGTGTACGTATCTTTACATATCAATTGAAATGCTATTTGAAGCGTTACAAATTTGTAATTAGTATTCCAATTGTGTATTTTTCCAACCATCTACAATTCCATGTATTCGAAAATATTTCATGAAATACTGTATAATTCAGGTAATAAAAGCAGTATGAAGTATAAAATTAAATTTAAATTGCCATTGTCACAGCGATCCTTTTGAGGATTACTGACATGGTGAAACGTAATTTCCGTTCCGGAGAATGGGAACCAAATATTAATGTCATCTCTATATGTGTCCAACAATATGAATCTGAATAATTCAACTAAAATTTCCGATGAATGGAACTAAAATTTACAACGTGAAACTTTCTGACTATCACATTGAATTTCGGAACAAATAGATAGTTGCATGTATGAAGTGACCATCAAATATTTTTCTCCTATTCAGTTAGAAAGGATATCTCATTTCTATCGAGTTATTCATACAAATTCTGTAGAAGAATTGTTCTTTATAAACGAACGTAAAGATTTATTTGAATCGTTCTACCTGTATTTATCAAAAGTGGCTTTATAATTAATACCGCGTTAACTAGGTGCGATAAGTTGTTAGTCAAACGATTTTGTCGGTTCATATGACTGGATAGGCGCATCCACAGAGTTCGCCGAGTGCTCAATGAAAACTCGTTTACTAGAAAGCCATCGTTATTCATTGCATACTACATTGGCCGCGAACGTTCCTCGCGGCACAAACGCTGATAAAGCGCTTTTGAAAATCGTTCGTCGACGAATCTATTGTTCGTTCTGCACAGCTCGTTCCACACGGTTCGTTTTACACCGCGCTCAAACTTCTACGATTGCCCCGAAAAAAGCATTTCACGTTTCATCCATCCGTTCTATATTTTA